AACCAATGGCTGGAAGACAAAGACTAAGAGCATAAATAAAGTAAGTCCTACCACCTTCTCCTTTAGGGTTTCTATTGATTGTGACTTAATCTCCTGAGGCAAATTGATGGTTTTAATATTAAGCTGAAAGAGTCAGCAAAGGGATTGGGGAATTGAGCAAAAGTAAAATTGTCCAGAAGTGGAATTTTCCCAACTCTGTGAGAAGGTTGGTTGAGGCCAAGCATGTTTTTTTTCTTTAAGATATTGAGATTCACAAGAAAAATAACTTTATAAAGACTAAGGAAGTGAGAGTGTTGAAACAGGTTGGGTTGGAAAATAATCTGAAACCTCAAGTAAAGTTGGAGGAGGATTCCTACTTAACCTCTCCAATTCTGCAACCCATCCTAATTTCCTAAGCCAATTCATACACTTTCCCAAGATTATTTGGCTGCTGGTGAACTTGAACTAATTCCATCTTGACAAGCTGATACCCCCATAAAGTTTTTTCCCTTAAGCTACAGGTCTAGACCACCCCATCCTGTTTCAACTGAAAGGCTACAGGCCATCCATTCTGGCAGAACATGGAGACCTAGTTAAGCCCCTATGCCAACCACAGAGACAGACCACGATGCAAGTGTTGCCTATAAGTGTGAGTTGCTAGAGCAAGTATAATGCTTTTTTGGCTTCTGTGAAAGTCTACTTGCAAAGGCTAAGTCCTACTTGAAGCTCCCAGAGCAGATGAGCCTAACTACAAGGCCAAGAAGTTTCCTTACAGGTGTTACTTGCTAAATTAAGTTTAACATTGCTTTCTGTTTCTGTAAAAGATTGCTTTCAAAGGATAGAAAAGAGACACTCAATATTACACCCTGCCCGTTTGTGGGTTTTGTCTTTATAAACCCTGTGAGGCTGTTCTTCTGGTTTCAGAGTCCTTTCTGGCATGATGATTTAAAAGATGATTTTGCTTTTAGGAGGGTTTTTATTTTTATTTTTTTTCCTTACTCATAAATCACCTCTCAACCCCATAAATAAAGGACTTACAGCTGATTAGGTCTCAGAGTGTGTGGCAACTCCGTATAGTCCATCTCACCTTTAATATATAACAAACTCTCTTGCCATCTTGGGTTCCATGCACTAGGTATGCCACCTTTAAATAAAGGATCAAGGGCTGAGATGTTAGGTATTGTACCTTTGTAACTTCTTTTACAACCCAACTCTGAATGTTCAATCCATCCCACTCCTGTGCCCAGAAATAGCCATCCTTGGTCCACCTCAAAATCAAGGATCATTTCTGAAGACTTGCATTAATAGCATTTCACCACTGATGTTGTATCCACTCACCCTTCCAAGGAGCTGTGAGGCCTAGTCAGCTCTAGATTTGCTTACAGGACCTGGGTAGCACCCAGAGGTCAAACCTACCCTGGTTCCTCCCTGCTGCAGGGCCTCAGGACAGCATCATGATCCCTCCATCTGCAATATGTTAGGAAGAATTAGGTTTGCTCATTTCATCTCTGTGTGGCAATATGTACCATGGGGGCTTACATTATTTTATTCAAGAAAATAGACTTAAGACTTCTTACAGAAGCTTATAAACATTAAAATTGAGAACTAATTATAGAAATGTGATGTCATACTAACATTAAAAGAAGAGAACCTTTAAATTTGACAAGAAACCCGAGAAGCTAAAAAAAAAATATATTCAGTGGAGGTTTGGTTCATTGTGTGTATTATAATAGTGGCAGAGTCCAGTTTAAGGTCCATTGGAGGGTTTAAAATTTCTTCTTTGGGTAGGCCTTTGTTGCCTTTGTTGCTGCTGGGACTTCAATTACTACATTACCTGGGTCCAAAGTGTTATGACAGGTTCTCACCTTGTATTGCATCATTGTTTATTCCTTAGGACAATCCTGGGAGGTCTGGAAACCAAATGCTATTTATGGAGAAAGACCCCAAAAAGGTAAAGGGCTGAGCCTCATGGTTTCATAAGGAGTCTGGAATTGTCATGTTTAACTTAGTGTTGTAAATTCAAGCATTACGCAATATAGAAGTAGCATTCTCGTTAGAGGCAGTCCATTTGGTACCATTGTGTAATTAAAATCATCTTTTAAGTATAGTTTTAACCAACACTATTGAGCGTTTGCTGTGTACCACCACCATGTTAAGCCCTTTATGAATGATCTTCTTAATCCTCACAAAAGCTATGTGAAGAAGGCACTGCTGTTAACAGTCCCATTTTACCATGGAGGAACCGAGGCACAGGGATGCGAAGTGACCTGCCCACGGTAACTGAGTTACCCAGTGCTGCTGTAATGGAAATACCACAAGTGGGTACCTTTAAAGAACAGAAATTTATGCTCTCAGTTTAGGAGGCTACAAGTCCAAATTCAGGTTGCTGGTTCTAGGAGAAGGCCCTTTCTTTGTTGGCTCTTGGGAAAGATCCTTGTCTCCTTGGCAATCTTCGTGTGGCATCTATCATCCGCTTGTTTATGTTCTGTGTCTATGCTGCTCTTTGTATTACTCAGAGGCGATTAGGTGTAGGATACAACCTATACTATGTGACTTCATTAACATAACAAAGAAGCCTTATTCCCAAACAAGATTATATCTACCTATACAAAACCAAGGAGCTCTGGTAGCATAGTGGCTAAAGCACTTGACTGCTAACCAGAAGGCTGGCGGTTCAAACCCACCAGCCACTCCTCGGAAGGAAGGTTGGGCAATCCTACTTCCGTAGTGATCCTGCCTCGGAAACCCAAGGAGGGGTCGCTATGAGTCGGGGCCGACTCGACGGCACATAACAACAACAACAACAACAACATACAAAACCAAAAAAAAAACCGAACTGTTAGCCATTGAGTTGATTCTGACTCATAGTGACCTTTTAGGATAGAGAACTGCCCCATAAGGTTTCCAAGGCTGTAATCTTTACAGAAGCAGACTGTCCCCTCTTTCTCTTATGGAGCAGCTGGTAAGTTCAAACTGCTGACCTTTCAGTTATCAGTTATGTGCTTTAACCATTGCACCATCATGACTTCTTCTCTTTCTCTACAGATACAGGAGTTAGGATTTGTCAAAGAAAAAAATAACAAGCATCTTACTTTGATTTTAGGAGGGTTTTTTTTTTTTTCTTACCCATAAATCTAAAAAAAATTCTGACCCAAAATTGATCTTGCCTGCAGCTTCAGTGGCATACTCTTCTCTCCCAAAGTTGCTAATCAACTTTACAGCCTGGTGAAATGTGTTTCTTTCCAGCTCAAAAACAAAAGCAAAAAACAATCCAACCCATTGCCACTGAGTCAATACCAACCTACATCACAAAACCTTTACTTCATGATTTAATGAAAAATACAGTGGACTTAGTTAATTTAAATTTCAAAAGGTCTCATGGTTGCAGGTGATCCAAAATTTTAGCAGCAGACCAGACTACCTGGTAACCTGCTATCAACTGATCTCAGTGAAATGGAGAGGGCAGGGTTTAATCAATCACCTTGAAATTAGAGAATGGTTGATTTCCTGTTCTTCCTTCTTTTCTCTTTATAAGCTTCATTGTAACTAACCTGCTGTGAGCCGTTTGTTTTTGTTTTTGTTTTTTTTTTTAGAATCAGAATAGTCTCCTTATATGCACATAGGATAACTACTCAGCATAAACCTTATGTTTCATTTTCTTTGAGTTTCGATTATTTTAGCAGATGGCAACACATATTTTGGGGGAAGGAAGATATAATTTAATCCATAATAGTAACCCAGCTAAACAAGGGAAGAGTCAGGTAAAACCAGTCAGCCTAATCCAAGCCCATGCTTTTAATTCTCAGTGATAACAAGACAGTTGGGGCTTGCTAAAGCAATACCAAAAATGGTATAAAAATACATACAATCTATCCCAAGACTTTTCAATAAAAATTAAAATGTTGTGTGAATATTACATTATTTATTTATACAACAGAATATTCTACTGAATCCAGAGGAAGATAAATATCTGTAGATATTGTTCACAGAAAGAAATTTGACATTTCTCAAAGTTCAGAATGATCACTGGATTGCCTTATCAGATCCAGATTTTCCTTTACCATTAAATTCTGAAAAAGAAAAGAAAAATGTAGAGCTCAGGTGAAATCATTCTCAGAATTGAGACAAGGTCTGTGAGCATGTTATTACACCAAATGTTTTTAAAATTATACCTCAGTTTGATGTATCATAAATGTCCAGCTTCCCTTCTCCATCATCAATGCTTTTAAGATTTGTTTTTGCTACATCTAACTAGGGCATTAGGTTTGTGTGAGTGTTGCTGCCTGAGGGAACATCTTCCTCTTTTTTTCCCCTGGGTGGTTATGTTTCCCATATATCTGGACACATATCTTGGGCACCTGCTGAAGCTTTGGGCTGCTGGGCTGTTGGGATGGGTCTCCAGGAGGGAGGCTGAGATGCATGGGCAGGTCATGCATCCTCAGGTTTCATAACCCAGGACCACAGCCCCATCAGAAGCAGAAGAGGTACAGAGTTGCTCTTGTGCCTAGATCTCCTTTTCCACAGGCCTGAAGGCCAAGGAATCTGCCCAGATTTAAACTCTGTGTCTCAAAGCACCATTGAATTGAGGGGACAGCCTTGTCTGGCTGTACTCAGAAATGTTCCCACTAAGGACCTAGTAACTCCCAAGGACTCCGTGGTGTCCTCCTAAAGCATGTGAGGATGTTTTTATCCCTCATCAGGGGAGCCAGGTGAGATATCATGGAGGACCCAGCTGGGCTGTGTAGAGCCTTCATCCCCCTCATAGGAGGAGACAACACAACTACAGCGAGCTGGGCATGGCAGCAAAGGCTGTTATTTTTGCCCAGAACAGTCAGGCTCAATGGGGGCTTATGTGGTGCTGTGAGCAGGAAAGGAAAGTTGTCAGTGTTTCTACATGGTCTCCCTTTCTTCAAACAATTGCCCCCGTGGCTGTATCTCCTTCCTAGAAAAGGAGAACTGGTTAGATACATGGCATTTACTTGGAAGAGAAAAGCTGCAATGAAACTGACCTTTGAAATAGTCTACTGAACATTCTCTTCAGTGTTCCTTCCATTTCTTGGCTGTGGAAAAAAAAAAATTGTAGCTGCAGATACTGAGACAGAACTGTCAGGATCTTATGTCTTTATTTCAGATCCTCTCTCCGTTGGACCCTACAGTTATTCTTCTAATTTGGATGTCAGTAATCTCCAGTGGGGCATCCCCTGGTAAGCCCCAGCCCCTTACTGTCCTAGGCCCTCTGTGCAGTACTCCAGGCTCCTTTCCTGCTCCTAGAGCTCCGACACTGATCTCCACTCCACAACCTCCAACCTTAGCCTTTGTTTATCTGGCAGGAAAGTCCTCAAATCGTTCATCACAGGACTTCTAATTCCAAAGAGATCATGGAGATCCACTGTTTCTCAAAGTACTTTCCAAAGAACAACCCCACTAGGTCCTGCAGACCAAAAAAAGTGTGTGGGGAGCAGGAGGGTGTAATTAAGAGCTTCCTTGGTCAAATAAGTTTAAGCCAAGTTAAATAGGTGGTTTCTTGCACAGCCTGTAATGTGCTAGCGTGCATTGCAAATCTTCAAGAATATCAGATGCCTTGTTTTCCAATCTTATTTGATATTTCGCAAAGTATCTCTTAGCACCAGTGCTCCAAAGAGTAGAGTTTAGGGAAGAGCACTGATCAAGTGTAGTTCTAATGTTTTTCTAAGGCAAATACCGAGTATCTGCCGAGTGAAAGTAGCTAGTGAATAGGAGATTAAAAACTAAAGTATCACTCTCATGACTCCTTGACCCTTCCAAAAGCCTACTGTTTCACCAGGGTAGAAGGAGAGGGTGGTACCCAGACTCCTCTTGCCAGGGTGTTTTGGGGCTACATGTGGACTTTGTCATTAGCTGTTATCAAGTTGGTCCCTGACTCCTGGAGACTCCATGCACAATGGGATGAAATTCTGCCCAGTCCCGAGCCATGATTGATTCTGAATTGGGCCATTGTGATTCCATAGAGTTTTCACTGGCTGATTTTTCAGAAATAGACTTCTAGGCCTCTTACTAGTCCATCTCAGTATAGAATTTTTGCTGAAACTTGTTCAGTTTCATAACAAGACACGCCTCCACTGACAGAAGGGTGGCGACTGCATATCAGGTGCCTTGGCTGGGAATTAAACCCTGGCCATCCACATGTAAGGCAAGAATTCTATCCTTGAACCACCACTGCCTTGTATGGACCTCAATGCTCAGGAACATGGACTCAGGCTTTGGTGTGGCCCAGCCCCTGCTCTCTGGAGCCATGGTGCTCTGCGTCCTATGACTTGGGATCCTTCCTTTGCAAGTATCAAGTTTGTAGAAGGAGATTTTGACACATAGCTGTGCCCTGTGTAAGCAGGTGAAGGACTCTCCCCCACCCTTATTCACCAACTCACTATTAGCCCTGATTGTGCTGATTGTGCAATTGTTCCACATGTGGGATGGCAGGAGCGAATTCAAATCAGAGTTAGAAAATAAAGAAGAGAAAATGTCTTATACCCTGAAAAGGAAAAATGGTCGTCCCAAGGTGGCAGTGTAATCCTGCAATATAAAAACATAAACCATTATCAATCACTGTACCTAGGTCTTTCTGAAATGCATATTAGTATCAGTTTTCAAAGTGTAGGCCCTGGACCCCAAAGCATCAACAACATCCAAAACTTGTTTGAAGTACACATTTTTAGCCCCTACTCCAGACCTACTGAATCTCTGGGGCTGGGGCTCACAAGCCTTCCAGGTGATTCTGATGCGCACAAAAGTTTGAGAACCACTGGTCTATGGGGTCCATGCCCACTTCTATAATCTCCCAAATTTAGGCCCAGGAGCCACAGAAAGCAAATTCCTAGGAGTAGATGTCCCCAAGTGATTCATTTGCAGGACTGGAGATAAAATACTGATAGCCAGAAGCATTGCCCCATGGCAAGCCCAGGGAAACCTCCAATTAAATGCTCAGCTTCAGAGAAGAGATTTGGGATCATTTGTTAAGAATAGTTCTTGCCAGTAGTCTAGAGGGGCTGCAAGGTGAGCAGGCTGCAAGCACTTCTCTGGCTTCTGCTATTGGTGTTTTTTTGCATGTTGGAGACCAAGAGAAAGATTTTAAAAAGGACAGGACTGCAAGGCACTTATTCTAACAGCAGCTAGAGAAGGCAAGGCCTCTTTTATGCTTCAATGCTTACTTGGCAGAACTTTGTGTGTTGAGGGCAAAACATTGTTCCAGTAACGTATGTTTGTCATCTTTATGGAATATCTCATACCTTAGAATAATTTATTTCAGTAATCATTTACTATCCCTGTAATAGCTTTTAGTCCAACTAATCATCCATTACCTCTGGGTCTGGGTAAGAGTAAAATTTTAACATTGTAGAAAATACTTGATTATATTGTAGAAAATACTTGATTGTACTAAGGAAATACCAAGAATAATGACGTAATCATGTATTAATGTATAAATAAATCAGAGCGGATGCATCAGGGATCGCTCTCACAGAATATGCAGAGTGTCCACCTGGCCCTGTTTCTCTTAATCCTTTAATCCTTTCATGTTCCTCTGTTTCATGACCTATGCTGCTGTGCTGGACGCGGCATTTGAGGGTTATGATCTCCACAGAACTTACATACCTTCTTGGTAAAGTCTGTTGCAGCAGGCCCTGAATCCTATGAGGGAATGAGGCACAGGTTAATTCAACTGAAACCACATCCCTGAGTCTAGTAGTAGATTTGCTGGGATCCTGCACTACCCTGCTTCCATTCTAAAGGAGTCAGAAGTAAGGTGTGAAAAAGTAATTCAAGGGAACAGGCTAACCATGTATCTAATGACATGTTCCTGCTGGAAGGCAGCATATTTCCATGATTTGAATATTCATTTGTACCATTGTCTTTCCCAACAGCTCCAACTTTTAGATTGACCAAAGGTTTAGGCAAGTGTTCAGTTTTTCAGAAAAGTTTAAGCTATTTTCAGCTTTTTCTTTGCCTCGTGGGCTTGGCTAAGAATCAAGTCAGATTCACCCTGAAGGCTAACTCAGCAGGGGATCAGACAAACTGCTGCCTGGTTTAGGATGACCCACCGTACCAGATTTTCCCAGAACTGAGGGGTGTCTCAGGGATCTTGGAATTTTCAAAGCTAAAATCGGGAAAGTCCTGGGAAAACTGAGGTAAGTTGATCCATCTGACCAGTCCTCACAGTGTCCTAAAGGATCTCTTTTTTTTTTTTTTGCTACCAAGTAATCCAATTTTTATTAACATTTTAACAGGTTCAGCCATTATTGAAACTTGTCACTTCTACCCTTAAAAAACAAAACAAACATAAAAGGCTCTGAAATGTGGACAAAGGAGAAGGGAATGGTGGAAGCAGAAAGTAACTCATCAAGGTAAAATGTTCACGTCAGGAGGAAGAAGCAGGCACAGGGAAAGTTAAAAACAATAACAACAAACAAAACCCCCAAACATAGGGCTATGGAGAGGAAAACAGAGGATGAAATGAACGGGGCAGCACACAGGCAGTCCCTCCCTCATCCTGTACAGCTCCCATGGGTAACAGTTGGGAAAACTGAGGCTCTAGGAAATTAAGGATTTGGTGCAAGGTCAGTCAACCAGTGGTACTGGCCCCGGGCTTTCTTAGGTGGATTCTTAGATTCAAGGAGAGACTAAAAGTGAGCCCCACGGCACCATGTTTAAAAGAACTGTTAGTGGCATTTCAAAAAAAAAAAAAAAATTATGGAATATAAAGAGCACAAACTCTCAGCAGAAATCTTTTCATCCTTCGGTTGGCGAGCTTTGCAGCCAGGCGCATTAAAGGATGCACAGGAGGAATCTGCAACAAAGAGGTGTGGTAAGGATGGAGATGTTCTAAGAGGGTCATACGCAAGCCTCAGACATCAACACTGGCAGAGTATTTTGAGAGCCCACAGCTACACATTCCTTCGACTCACTTCCTTTATAAATGGGTTTAATTTTCAGAGTAAAATCCATTTCAGAGCCTAAGCTTGAAATTTTGTTTTCAATAAAGAACCACTTACCATGATAGCAGGTTCAATTTCAACCCATTACTTAAAAATATTCCCTCAGGGTTAAGTTAGACTTTTATCTAGCATCCTGTCTTCCTACAGTGGAGTGCTTTGCCTCAAAGAAGCATCTCCCTTTCACAATCCCCTGTGTGCTCTTCTACCCTAAAGGACAAGGTAGAAGGGCAGCATCCACACCTCCTGCCCTGATTCATTTTTATTGTCCTATATTTATCTGTCACTATGAGTTTGAATCAACTCAGTGGTAATGGGTTTTTTTGTTTGTTTGCTTTTTTAATTTACACTTGCCTGTGGTGGCCCACACTCACTCAAGCATGCACGCTCATGCAGCATAGAACTGCTCCATAGTTTTCTAGCCTGTAATCTTTATAGAGGAAGCTCTGGTGGTGTAGTGCCTAAGGCATTTGACTGCTAACCAGAAGCCTGGTGGTTCAAACCCACCAGCTACTCCTCGGAAGGAAGCTGGGGCAATCTACTTCCATAGTGATACTGCCTCGGAAGCCCAAGGAGCGGTCGCTATTGGTCGGGTCCGACTCGACGGCACATAACAATAACAACAACAATCTTTATAGGAGCAGATGGCCAGATGCAAACTGCCAACCTTTCAGTTAGCAGCAGAGCACTTAACCTTTGCACCACCAGGGCTACCCCACCCTTATCTCTTGCCCATTCCCAGACCTATACTGTTGTTGTTATGTGCCATGGAGTCGGACCCGACTCATAGTGACCCCTCCTTGGGTTTCAGAGGCAGTATCACTATGGAAGTAGATTGCCCCATCTTACTTCCAAGGAGTAGCATATATGTATATATATATATATATATTGTTGTTATGTGCCGTTGAGTCCTACCGGACTCATAGTGACCCCTCCTTGGGTTTCCAAGGCAGTATCACTATGGAAGTAGGATTGCCCAACCTTCCTTACACATATATATATATTTTGTTGTTGTTATTAACCATCAAGTCGGCCCTGACTCATAGCAACCCCTCCTTGGGTTTCCGAGGCAGTATCACTACGGAAGTAAACATAACCTTTGCCAGTAAAACACAACCTTTGCCAGTTCAACATTTATCACGTGTACAATTCAGTAACACCAATTACATCAATCATGTTGTGCAACCATGATCAAAATCCATTGCCTAATTTTCCATCACCATAAACAGAAACTCAATGCTTCCTAAACATTGATTCTCACTTATGAATAATTTTCTAAAGGTGAAATTTCAGTTGCTGTGAATAGGGCACCTGAATTATAAATTATGTTGTATGCCCATACCAGTTTCCTCAATTCTTAATCCATAGAAATTTACCTCTACAACTGGCCCCCAAAAGTTTGTAGTAAGAAACTTAGAGGTGATGGTTATCTTACCTATAGCACATACCCACTGTGATAGTCTGGGAAGAGGCATTTTGATGGAACATCTTACATTTCACAAAGCACTTCTCAACATTTGAAAACAGAAGGTAATATGGAGCCATGTAAACAGAGCACAGAAGTTACCAGGCTCATCTCTGTACGGCTGTTTAAGTGCATAATAATAATAATAAAAGCTATTTCTTGTTTTCCCTTTTCTGTAATTTTATTCTCTAACTTTTCAGATCTGTCAACCACCCCCACCCTAGAAAGAGAGAGAGAGAATCCCTGCAGCCCCAAAGGGAAGGAGAACACTAACAAGCTATTACCAAGAGGGCATCTGGAAGGCCCCTACTCTTTTATTTGACTGTGTATATTAATGAGGAAGAAATAAAAGGCATGCAGATAAGAGTCCCTTTTTACAAAAAGATGATTATGATAAAATACTGACCCCAGGTTTAACTGGATGTCGTGGCTCCTGAGATCTGGAGTAGTGAAATAAAAACTAAATAAGGAAAAAAAAAAAGTTATTTTAGTACTAAGTTCCACTTGCTCCAAAAGTGGAAGTGGCATGCACTTTCTACTGAAATAGGCAGTACTCACCCGTTTGTGTACATCCTGATTAACCTTAGAAAAAGAATTGTGAGAGTAAGCTATGTGGGATTTTACTGGGAAAAGCAACTGATGAAGTTTTCAGTATGTTGCATGGACCTTACCTGATTTACCTTAATATTATTAAACGAACTGTTAACCTAAAAACAAAATCCCTCCATTATACAAACTTCACAAGGACATAGTTGACATGAGATTTTACCAAAAAGAAAATTGCCATCATTTAAAAAATAATAATTTCATATTATCTTCTCAATCTTTGGGAAGGAAACCAGAGTCTATGACTTAAAGTAAACAAACAAAAACCCAACCAGCAGCTGTCAAGTTCATTCAGACTTATGGGGTCCCCATGGGTGTCAGAGTAGAATGACCCACCATAGAATTTTCAATAGCTGTGATCTTTCAGAAGTAGATCACCAGGCCTCCCTTCCAAGACTCTTCTGGGTAGATTGAACCACCAACCTTTGAGTTAGTTGCCTAACAATTTGAGCCCCACTGGGACCCCAAACTAGTTGGTGTGGAGTCTATCCAATTCATGTAGATTCCAGGTTTGTTAAATAGAACTGCGAGCCATGTTGTTGTTGTTGTTAGGTGCTATTGAGTTGTCTCTGACTCATAGTGACAACAATAGTGTACAACTAAACAAAACACTGCCTGGTCCTGTGCCAGCCTCATAATCCTTGGTATACTTGAGCCCACCATTGCAGCTAGTGTGTCAGTCCATCTCATTGAGGGCCTTCCCCTTCTTCACTGACCCTCCACTTTACCAAGCATTATATCCTTCTCCAAGGAATGGTCCCTTATGACAACATGACCAAAGTAGGTGAGATGAAGTCTGGCCATTCTTGCTTCCAAGGAGCATGCCAGCTCTTATACTTCTTCCAGGACAGTTTTGTTCATTCTTTTGGCAGTTCATGGTACTTTCAGTATTCTTCACCAACACCATAACTCAAAACCAACAACTCTTATTTGGTCTTCCTTATTCATTGTCCAGCTCTCACATGCATATGAGGAAATTGAAAATACCATGGCTTGGGTTAGGTGCACCTTAGTCTTCAAGAAGACATTTTTGCTCTTCAGCACTTGAAAGAGGTCTTTTGCAGCAGACTTGCCCAGTGCAATTGTCTGATGTCTTGACTGTTGCTTCCATGGGTGTTGATTGTGGAACCAAGTAATATGAAATCTTTAACAACTGCAATCTTTTCTCCATTTATTGTGATGGTGTTTATTGGTCTAGTTGTGAGGAGATTAGTTTTCTTTATGTTGAGATGTAATCCATATTGCAGATTGAAGTTTTTAATCTTCATCACTAGCTGCTTCAAGTCATCCTCACTTTCAGCAAGCAAAGTTGTATCATCTGTTTATCACAGGTTGTTAATGAGTCTTCCTCCAATTCAGATGCCAATTTCTTCATATAGTCTAGCTTCTCAGATTATTTGTTCAGCACATAGATTGAGTAAGTATGGTGAAAGGGCACAATCCTGATGCACTCTCTTCCTTATTTTAAACCATGCAGTATTCTGTTGTTCTGTTCAAATGACAGCCTTCTGGTCTGTGTACAGGTTCCTCAGGAGTACAATCAAGTGTTCTGGAATTCCCATTCTGCTCAATGTTAGCCATAATTTGTTATGATCCATGCAATCGAATGTTTTTGCATAGTCAATAAAACATCTTTCTGGTATTCTTTGCTTTGAGCCAAGATCCATCTGACATCAGCAATGATATCCCTCGTTCCACATCCTCTTCTGACTCCACCTTGCAGTTCTGGAAGTTCTCTGTCATTATACTGCTGCAACCATTCTTGAATTATCTTCAGCAAGATTTTACTTGCGTGTGATATTAATGATATTGTTTGATAATTTCCACATTCTATAGGATCACCTTTCTTTGGAATGGGTACAAATATGGATCTCTTCCAGGCAGTTGGCGAGGTAGCTGTCTTCCAAATCTCTTGGCATAGTGAGTGAGTACCTCCAGTTAGGCATCTGTTTGTTGAAACATCTCAATGGGTATTCCATCAATTCCTGGAGCCTTGTTCTTCACCAATTCCTTCAGTACAGCTTTGACTTCTTCCTTCAATACCATTGGTTCTTGGTCATATACCACTTCCTGAAATGGATGAACATTGACTAATTCTTTTTGGTATAGTGACTTTGTGTATTTCTTCCATCTTCTTTTGATGTTTCCTGCATCATTCAATATTTTGCCCATAGAATCTTTCAATATTACAACTTGAGGCTTATATTTTTTCCTCAGTTCTTTCAGCTTGAGAAATGTGAACCATGTTCTTCCCTTTTGGTGTTCTAACTCCAGATCTTTGCACATTTCATTATAATAATTGACTTTGTCTTCTTGACCTGCTCTTTGAAATCTTCTGTTCGGCTCTTTTATCTTGTCATTTCTTCCATTTGCTTTAGCTACTCTCTGTTCAAGGGCAAGTTTCGGAGTCTCTTCTGACATCCATTTTGCTCTTTTCCTCCTTTCCTGTCTTTTTAATAACCTTTTGCTTTCTTCGATGATGAAAGCATCATCTTTCTTGGATGATGTTCTTGATGTCATCCCACAATTCCTCTGGTTTTTAGTCAGAGACAAACTCTGTGACACTAACTATGTGCCTGAGGGTTTTAAAAACAAACAAGAACAAACAAACAAAACACCTATTCCCTTGGAGTGGATTCTGACTCATAGCAACCCCGTAGGACAGAGTAGAACTTCCCCCAAAGAGTTTCCAGGGCTATAATCTTTATGGGAGGAGTTCTAGTGGTACAGTGGTTAAGTTCTGGCTGCTAATGGAAAGGTCAGCAACTGATTCAAACCTACCATGCTCTGTGGGAGAAGGATGAGGTGGTGTGCTTCTTAAGAATTACAGCCTTTAAGAACCTGTGGGGCACTTCTATTCTGTCCTACAAAGTCAGTATGAGTTAGAATCCATGGCAACCAGTAATCTTTACAGAAGTGACTGCCCCATCTCTCTTCTGCAGAAAGAACCAAACTCTTAAGACTGAGCCACCAGGGTTCCTTCTATAGGGTTTTAAGGACACCCAAATCAGTTCCCAGATAACCATCTGACTAAGAAGTGAATAAAATAACTATTGATGCCTTTAATGGGCTGCTAGATGTACTCTATAATTCAAATTTTTAGGGTTGGTTCAAATTTACCAATTTTTAAAAATTTAATGTAAACTTTCTACATGAATCTCCACTCTTCTTTCAGAAAGCCCACGTTTTAATTTGTAAATCCTTGTTAGAAACTCGCCTGGCCCTTGTTTACATGGATAATGGCCTTGGGAAAGCTATAGACAGCCTATCGACTCATGGGCCAGGTAAGGTGAGCATGTGAAGTCATCTTACAAAACCATAGTACACGTTTTCATGCACATGTTTTGTAAAATTGCTACAGCTGATTACTTTGAAGATCTTTTGATATGCTGGTATACTAATATCAATCATTTGCATCTCATGCACATTTAAGCATTCTTGAATTATCTCAATCTTCAATCAAAACAGAAATTAAAGTTGCTAATAACACATCTAATTTTGTTGCTGCAAATATAAATAAATATTCCTTGAAACGTTATGGAGAGTCTCTGCAGTGTAAGCAGGTGATACATTTCCATTCTCTCTGTCTCTCTTCTTTGTCATTTGGTCTCTTCTCTTCCTTCTTCTCTCTCTCCACTCCACACTTGCACAGGTGTGTACATGCATACACACACACACACACATTAACATTAATAGGAAAGGCTCTGTGGAAACTGACTTTGTTTCTAATCACCATTTTTAAACCAGTAGAAAGTACTATTTTCACAGCTTTTGCTTTTCTTGTTAGCATCTGCTCACAATAATGTGTGTATGTTTACATGGACACTTAATGGGCAATTTTTTTTTTTTTTTTTTTACCACGTTCATCAACTTTATACTGTTATTTTTCAGGCCAAAGATTAGCAAGGAATATGAAGATGTTTTTTCTGGTGCTAAACACTCTTCTCAACATTTCATATACACTTTCCTTGCTTTATTTTTTTTTCTCTTTAGAAAAAAAATATATAGTTAAAATTTTACTAATAAATCGTCTTTATTATTTGTTTCTTAAACTAGAATATAAGGTCAATGAGAGTAGGTGTTTTTGTCTGTTTTGACCGTTTCTGTATCTGCAATACCTGGCTAATGTCATGCTCTCAATAAATACATATTTTTTTTTAAATGAATGAATAGTAGGTTTCTCTGTTCATAAGAACCTATTTAAAAAAAAATTCCCAAAAAAAGAACCTATTGAATTTTTTCACATCTAAACATCTTCTGGTCCCATTTAGGAACCAGAAACAGGAAACCCAAAGAATTCCCACATATGTCATTATCTGTAGAATACAACTGTTTTCTGACTTGCCTCAAGATAAAAGTTCCCTGGATTACAGACCTGGGCTGTCGCATAGACCAGAGCTGGATGTAGGCTGAGAGAGGCCTGGTTGCTTATACCGACCATTGGACAAATGTGAGAACTAAAGCCTCAAGAGAGAAAATTACTTTCTCATGGTCCCACTTGGAAGCAGCAACAAAGCCAAGAGTGTCCATAGTCTCTCTATTAATAGCTTTAAAATATTGGTAGTTTCATTCACTGAGTAACCCCTGCTCTTCTGTAATTGGAAATAATGAAAGGGATCAGCTTTGGGAAATGGAGATAGTGAATGGGAAGTTCATTTCAGGTGGTCCCTGCACTTAGGGGAAATCCTATAGCCCAATTTACCACTGTAGGTAACACATGTGACAGCCACACTTCCACTTCCTCTGCTGATATAGGATATCTTCACACAGCCTTCATGCAAGGGACAAGAAAGAGTCTTCAGTGTGAAGCGGGGAGGCAGTGGCTGGGAGATGGAGAACTGCAAGTTATCATTCTGAATCGTTATTCCAGGTTCTAAGGTTGTAAAGATTATTTCTGAAAATGAGAGATAACAATTCATGTCTTCAGACATGAACGATGGTAAATTGCAAATAAGAGGAAATAAGTATGATATATTTATGAAGTTTGAGAGAAAAAGTCATATTTGAGTCTTGAGGAATGAGAATTATATCAAGAGGTAATTATAAAACTATAATGAGATACAACTTCATCCTTATTGGAGTAGCAATGATCCAAAAGATGGAAAACAACAGGTGTTGGCAAGGTTGTGGAGAATCTGGAAATATTATCCATTGCTGGTGGGAATGTAAAATGGTACAGTGCTGTGGAAAACATTTTGGAAGTTTCTAAAAGTTGAACATGGAACTACCAGGTGACCCAGAAGTCCCAATCCTAGATATACACCCAAAAGAAGTGAAAGCAGGAACATAAATAGAAGATGTACAGCAATGTTCATTGTAGCATTTTTGTAATACTTAAAGGTTGAAAACAATTTAAACATCCACCAACAAAAAATGGATAAACGAAGTGTCATGTTTATATACAAAATGGAACACTACTGAGCCAAAAAGAGAAATGAAGTTTTGATGCATGCCACAACATGAACGAACCTAGAAAACATTATGCTGAGTGAAATATCAGTTGCAAAAGGACGAATATTGTATGATACTTACATGAAATAAGCCCATATATGGAAACCAAAGATTATTAGTGATTACCAGAGATGGAAGGGAGTGGGAAAAGGCAAGTTTTTGCTGAGAGGACACTGAGTTTATGTTAATGATGGTGGAATGAATTGTCGAGAATAGTTAGTTGCACAGCTTGAAGAATGTAATCAGTGTCACTGACCAGCACATGTAGAAACTTTTGACATGGCATATGCTTTGTTATGTATATTTTCACCACAGTATAATAATATTTTTTATTTATTTTTTTAAGAATCAATGGTAACAGCTAATAAATAATGTCAATTATCATGTTCTGGACATTGTTGGAAACACTTCACAAATATTAAAGTAACATTATGAAGCACAATGACTACCATAAGGAGGCTTGGAGGTGCAAATCCATCTTGTAGTTCTGTGGGAGAAAGGTCTAGAAAACTGCTTCCATAAAGAAAACCCTATGATGTAGTTATACTTCGTCCAACAGTGTCATTATGAGTTGGAATTGATTTAACAGGACCAAAAACAACAACAGCATAACTATTGTACCCATATTACAGATAAGGAAACTGAGGCACAGAGACTAAGAAACTTGCCAAAGTTAAGTAACTAATTTGTGGTGCAATTGGGTTTTGAATGCAAGGACTATAGCCTTCAGTATGGATTACACTTCAACATAAAGAAAACAAAAATCCTCACTACTGGACCAAAAAGCAACATCATAATAAACACAGAAAATATGAAGTTGTCAGGGATTTCATTTTACTTGGATCCACAATCAATGCTCATGGAAGCAGCAGTCAGGAAATCCGATGATGTATTGCATTGGGCAAATTTGATGCAAAAGACCTGTTTAAGGTGTTAAAGGGTAAAAATGTCACTTTGAGAACTAAGTTGTACCTGACCCAAGCCATAGTATTTTCAATTGCCTCCTATGTATGCAAATGCTGGACCAAATAAGGAAGACCAAAGAAGAATTGATGCATTTGGATTATGGTGTTGGTCAAGAATATTGAATGTATTATGTACTGCCAGAAGAATGAATAAATCTAGCTTGGAAGAAATACAGCTAGATTGCTCCTTGGAAGTGATGATGGTGAAAGTTTGTCTCCCATACTTTGGTCAAGTTATCAGGAGGAACTCTTGTTGTTGTCTGCCATGGAGTTGGACCCGACTCATAGCAACCCCTCTTTGGGTTGCCAAGGCAGTATCTCAATGGAAGCAGATTGCCCAACCTTCCTTTTGAGGAGTGGCTGGTGGGTTTGAACCGCCAGCCTTCTGGTTAGCAGTCAAGTGCCTTAGGCACTGTGCTACCAGAGATCCTTCAGGAGGAACTAGTCCCTGGATAAAGACATCATGCTTGATAAAGTAGAGGATCAGAGAAAAATGAGAAGACCATTAACACCATGGATTCACACTATGGCTACAACAATTGGCTCAAACATAGCAACAGTTGTGAGGATGGCACAGGACTGGGCACTGTTTACTTCTGTTTTCAGAGGTTCAGAGGGTCGCTATGAGTAGGAACTGACTCGTTGGCATCTAACAACAATAATAACTTGCTTTCAGACTCTGAGCTATTAATTCCTACCTGGGAAGGAGGCAAAAGCATTTCTGGACAAGGAAAAGCATGTGTAAAGACATAAAAGGCATTGCGCATTTGGGGAATAGTGAGAAATCAATATGACTGGAACATGGGATAGTATGGTAGTGGAAGAGGTGGGGGGGATGAGATGTGGCTCAAGGTGAAGATATGTGGACTATGTCAAGAATAATGAAGACCACCCTTTCCACTTTTGATTGAATCAACATTTACTTTGTGTCCATTGAAATATTTGTTGTGGTTACTATAGTTATTGTTAGTTCCTTTATGTGAAATCTACTAATATTTTTAGAGAACTGCTATATCATAGTGTTTCGGTTAGCTAGTGTTGTCCTGAAAAGAATATACCACAAATGGGATGGTCTTAACAAACAGGAGTTTATTCTTACAATTTGGAGGCTTTAAGTCCAAGTTCAAAGTGCCAGGCTCTAGGGGCTGGGTGAAAGCCCTTGACCTTGGACTTTCAGCTCTGCCTCTCCCAGCTCACTGAAGCTAGAGGCATCTCTTCACTCAGGCAGCAGCTGCTGGCTGCTGAGGCTAACAAGCCTAAGGTCGACAAATAAAATAGCACAGTCCTGATGTTACCAAACTACACAGCAGGCCATTAATTCAAGTCCATTGAAAGTAAGGTAGGCAGAGCATGGCAGGCTGCTGAACAATGACACAGCTACATGCAGAGTTCAAGCGTGCCATAAGCTAGAGACTATCCCCAAGGCTTCTCCTTAAATACAGGAAGCAGACCACATCCCAAAGACAGCTATTCACCTGCTTGTGGTAGATCCCACCATGGGGGGAGTTGATTGCCAGTCTCATCATGGGGAATAACTACCACCAGCTGCCCAGCTACTCAACCAGGCCCAGCCAAGTTGACATACAAATTTAACTACCACACATAGTGTTAATTTGTAATGTATGATATGATATATTGTGATGAATATAATTAATCTAATTATATATAAAAATATAATTAGATATATAATCACCATAGTAATATATATGTATGATATGTGTGTGTGCACATTATATATTATATATATATATATATATATATAAAACTATGGTAATTACAAGAATACACATGAACTCCTTATACTTTTAGAGTAATTTGGATTCAAGAGATTAACATGATATTTTCTAGCATTATAGTCTTACATACACACATTTAAACACACATATAGCATCCTCCTACAGATAGCAGAAGAGTGCTTACTACAGATCTCAATTAAACTGTAAACACATGCACTGATATGACTAAAAGAATTATCATATATACATTATTTTTTTTTTACCTTAGGTTGGCTAGAAATAGTTGCCCACTGACTCAGACAATATGCCAGTTGCTAAAAAATAATAATAATAATAATAATAAAATAATAAGTGAGGAAAATGAATCAAAGATAAATGTTACATTCTTTAATCAGTAGAACTTTATTACAACACATTTAAAATTCTAAAATTGTCCATTTTATGAACCTTGCATCACCTTCTCACGCAGTGGCAGTGAATTTCAAAACAACTCTTGGGATGCCTTAAATGAGGCCATGAAAATTGCAATAGTGAGTTCCTGCAGCAACCAAGAGTCTGATCATAAGATGCAGTTTTATGTGAACATTACCCACATGATATTTTCAAGGCCCAGACTAAATAAAAATCTCACATTACTGAACAACAGTGTACCTCAAGCTGCACAATATCCAAGCCATCTGGAGGATCAGCTAAAGGTTGAGGAAATCCTATTGTGGGAAATCATAAAAATATCAATTAGGAGAATAGAGATCATAGCAAGTACTTTTAAACTTTGCCATGAAAAGAATGACAAAGATTAAAACAGTATTATTTAATAAATAACATTATATATTATAATAATGATAATATTTAATGAATTATTAGAATGAATCAGGGAAGAATCATACAAAAAGGTCGATAGGAAGTCAAGATATGATACGACACTGTTAAAATGATTTACAAAGAAAGCACACTTCCACGTACTACTGGTAAACCTGAGATTTGTACCAAAATTAATTTTAAAAGGTCTGCTTTTAATTTACCAGGAGCTTTCAGTACAGGAATTAGCAAATCAGGAAAGAGGAGAGAAAAAAAAGAAAAACTCTCAGTGACAATTTAATTTGTATTTTGATGGAAATTAGGAGGATAGAATATCAGAAAATGATGTTAAGAAAGCATCAGTATCCCCCTTGGAAGTTTTAAGAACTACAGATACCTGTCTCTCTGCTGAATCACACTATCCAGGGATGGGGTCCTGGGGAAGGTTACTACCAGCATGCAGCTGGACTCTGTACCAGTTAATCTTTATTTGACCTAAGAGAAGACATCTCATTTCCATGTGATGTACCATTTAGAGGAATAGCTAATACTGCAGTTGGCAGAATCAACTGCATAGGTAAAAACTAACAAGATAAAATTAAACAGGGATAAATATAAGATCCTGAGCTTAGGTTTTTAAAAATATGATACAGGCTCA